GTATTTTATTATTAGGTAACTGCTACCAAGTACAATGTACCACTAGTGTTGCTGTTACTGATACAAATGACCTCTATTTGATTGTTTTTCTACGTATGCTCCTCCTCTTATCAGGAGATGTTGAACTCAATCCTGGTCCTATAACAGGTAAACATACACTTAATACAACACTCATTAACTGATACACTACTGCAGGCAATCCAAAGGATATATTAAGGACTCATTCTGTTAAGCTCACTGATGCTATTACTACTAACCTTTACAGAGTAACTGATGCACTGTATGCTGAAGGACTGATACCACTGGATACTAAAGGAGACATGTACTCATTGACAGGAGAGAATGATTCAAAGAAAACTGGGAAACTACTCATTACACTACAAGCAACACTGGAAGCATCTCTTAATCCAAAGCAGTATCTTATTGATATATGTCATGTATTAATAAACCAACAACATCATACACTAACAGATATTGCTACCTCTATATTACACCAGTTAGGTGAGTGTGTGTGTGTACATTATCAGTGATCAATATAGTCATTATATCTCAATACATTAGGTCAGTCTATACCTGATAATGTCAGTTCACATACTGTACTACCATCACCAGCTAATATCAGTTTTGATATACTTAAAACTGAAGGTATAGATAATAAGCATTTTCAAGTATAACTTTGTATAGTCCTGAAATTGCTCAAGAGTTCAGCTTTACTATTGATATTTAGTTTATGGCTATAATGACAAGCATGTACTACTGCCAGTTCATGATCAGTTACTAATATAAGTGGTATTTTAATTTATAGTAATGTACTTACCTATGTTCATTGTACTATTTGTGTAAATTAGATGTGTTTATACTATCAGTAACATGGTAGTGTTACAAAGTAGGATTCACCCCAAAACAATATGGCTGCCACAACTTTTGTAGCCTTGCTATAATGTATGTGTGTGTGTGCCATAATATAGCCATGGCTAATTTTGGCAACCAGGATTTTTGTCAGCATAATTTTATAATTACCAGTAATCAATATTATCAATATTATGTACTTTTTATATCATCTCAATGCACTAGGTATTGATGATAGTATTACTGTACTGACAAAAAAAACACGTACTCTTGCACAAAATATCAAGGAAAATCCTTCAGTACCTAATGTTAGTAATGCAGTTGCTACACAAAGAGAGGAGATAATGTTTACCACAAAAGAAGGTGAAGAAGAAGTTTTGTATTTACTAATAGAGCTCAAAATTTCATTTGCTGATTTAATGCTAAAGGTACGGACAGCATTTGATGAGAAGGAAGCCTCAGATCCTAAGCTACTCATTAACTTGACAAGATGGATTGAGGCATACATGAACTGGAGTGATAAACTAACAAATGCATCATTAGATGAAACTTTCAATATTATTCATCCGTACTATGATTTTGTTGACTGCTGCCTGATAGTGGACATGAGCGAAAAGTTTCTACAAGATTTCAAAAGTGGTGATGATAATTTAAGCATTGTCAGTGAATTAAAAGAGTATAAGAAAAGAGCTGATGAACTCCAACTTTCAGCTCAGGTGAAGCATCTTCATAAATCATTACAAACAATATATAAAGAACATTTACCAGATACATCAAATATGCCAAGGATTTTAATGAAGCTTCATAATCAATGGCATCGTAGTGATATCAATATACTCTCTCTATTGATTCATAACTTACTTCCTGTTGGACACCAGCAGTCAATAATGAAATATATTACAATAACTTCTGGATGCATTATCATCAAATATTCTGTACTTGATTCTACAGCTGATAGTCTAATAGAATATACTGGAAGAAAGTTACAGTTTATGCGTCTCATTGTATATTTAGTTTATACATTAATGATCATCCTGTCCTTCAAGAAGATGAGAATATGAACTTCACCTTTGAACTAGCTCTCCTTGAAGCAGTCACAGCTGGTAATAATGAAGCAGTAGAGTTTCTTCTTCAACTAGAAACTGTTAATATTGATCATACTAATGAAGAAAGCAAGACAGCACTAATGTTAGCTTGTGAAAGAGGACATGAGGACATTGTACACAGTTTACTGTCTGCTGGAGCTAATGTTAATTTTCAGGACAATAAAGGATGGACTGCACTAATGATAGCAAGTGAATATAATCGCATTTCAATCATTCACATGTTACTACAAGCTAATGCTAATCCTCACCTGAAAAAATTGAATGGGTCAAATGCTGTAATGATTGCTAGTGATCATGGTAGCTACAAGGTTGTTGAACTATTGATTAGTAAAGGAGCTGATTATAAATATCAACGAGAAGATGGTTGGAATGCTATTATGTTGGCTTGTCAAAATGGACACACTCAAATAGTTGAACTGTTGCTGAAGAAACAAGTTGATCCTAATGTTCAAAAGAAAGATGGCTGGAATGCTTTTATGTTGGCTTGTCAAAATGGTCACACTCAAACAGTTGAACTGTTGCTGAAGAAACAAGTTTATCTTAATGTTCAAGGAAATAGTGGGGTGAATGCTTTTATGTTGGCTTGTCAAAATGGTCATACTCAAATAGTTGAACTGTTGCTGAAGGAACAAGTTGATCCTAATGTTCAAAAGAAAGATGGAGTGAATGCTCTTATGCTGGCTTGTCAAAATGGCCACACTCAAATAGCTAAACTGTTGCTGAAAGAACAAGTTGATCTTAATGTTCAAACCAAAGATGGTATCACCACTTTTATAATTGCTAATGACAATGGACATTATAAAGTGGCTGAGTTATTATTAGAATGGGAAGCTGATCCAACTATTAGATCTAACAGAGGTAGCACTGGAATGAGAATGGGCAAAGTAGAGGGAGCTACTGCTAGTACACATTCGTTTCCAATACGAAGAACAGTATCCAGTAATTTTAACTAATAAAAAATTGTTACTAGTACCAAGAGCACGTAAGGTACTCTGTATTTCTGCTAAATTAATTTTAGATTTATTAAATAGCTGCTGCTGCATGTAGTACATAATAATTATTATTTGTAACAATTTTTATAAGTTACCAATTAGCTACCTTTTATGGACATGGGATCATCATGTGTGCTACAAAATGGATGGTCGGAGGTTGTGCATGCATAATCGAAACATTGGTTCTGATGCACCTTTTATAAGTTCTTATGCTATATAGAAAGATGGTTTGAGCTAATTCTGGCCACTAATTTTGGTTTTTAGTTTTTTCTGCATCCATTATTACTTTACCATTCTTAGTTGCAATTTACCATTCTGGTTACTTGCTTTTAGGTTCATTAATAATTGATTATCCTGGCAAAGATTGCCAAATACAATGTACAATCTATTTTATGGGTAGATCTATTCTTAAGTAAATGCAGCTGTTAGCTGTATACCGGATGTGTGTGGTTTATAGGACCTCATGAAAATAGTTACTGGAACACACCAATAACAATGAATATTATTATTGATTGTTCTACATGTACCTTGCCACCTTGCAATTGACGGATGACATTGCAGTATTGGAGGTCAATTATTTGTCATATTAACCTAGCTCGTAAAAATATATAAAACTAGCTCATTAAATTAATTGACGCTCTATGCATATGATCTATATTATTAGTCCATTTGTCAAGCTTGGTTGATTCTTTACTTGCCTAGCCTGTTTTAGATGCATGAATATTTTAAGCAACTTTTAGTTTCTTAGTTTAACATACACACTTCTTGCCCGAGTTTTTGCTTAAAATGTCTGTAAAACTGTTTTACTTAGCTTAACTTTAGATCTTGCTATGGCAATTTTATCAATAATGATGAGCTTCATAACTTCTTAATTGAATCTAAAACCTTTTCTAGATGCTGGAGCAGTCTTTGGGAGTTTGTGTCTGCAATATCTTGCTGCTAGAAAACCCAATTTCTTCCAGAGTGTTGGCCACCATTTTATTTTAATCAACTACTCTTGAAATCAAATGCAAATTTCTGGATTCGCACATAAATATTAGAGTAAATGAAAATTTACTCTAATATTTATGATTCACGCCCATTTCTAGACCACTCCCACTTGCAATGAAAAATTAAAAATTGCATTGGTATAATGCATGTCATGTACCGTATTACACATAAATAGGGGTGATGTATGTACAAGGACAGACAGAGGGACAGACGGACGGGGCGGGCATGACTCAGGGCTGCCAGATCATGTATATCAGGAAAGTTTGGAGAGATTTAAAGAGCTGTGTAGTCTTTCCATTGCTTTACCACCATTACAAAGTCTGTCCATGTGACGTCATCAGCTTGCTATGTAGTTATAAAATCTATGATTAACCTCGCGACTGCGTCACTCAGTTCATAAATACCAAAGAAAAACTACCTTGGTGTATAACCTATACTTAGCTGTTATACATGTAAATAACATTTATTATAATAAAAATTTAATATTTATCAGTGCTACTATTCCAGCTATATTGTTCTGTGTAGTACAACAACTGAATTAACAGATGAGTTGTAACTGCATAATTAAAGTCTGTTGAATTTGGCACAATGAAATTTTGGTGGATTTAGCAAATCAAGATCTATTAAAAAAGTTTTTGATATTTTTATGGCATCTTTAATTCAATGGCTCCAACCATTTGTCGACTAAAGGTCTTGGCTTACCATCTTATTATTAGATTTAAACAAAAAATGCAGCAATTTCCCTCTCCCTTCCCTCCCTCTTCTACCTCTGTCTCTCTTTTCATCACTAGTTTCTTACCGCAGATGGTCCAAGTCTTTAACATCAATGACTATATTTTTATTGTGTGATAGATCCACTAATTCGAGGGGGCGAAACTTCTGTAACTAAAAAAACAAAAAAAGAACGTAAAAAATAATACCAGTATAATATTCTTTATCAAATACACAAATGCAACAATACAAATATATCAAATACACAATGCAAAAGGACACTGCAACTCTATACATGTATTTACTCACTAAAATGGCAAAAATATGCTCAATAAGGATAGTAAAGTAATGTTCACACATACCGGTACCAGGTATACACAATGTACATGTGTATGATCCTTACTTGTGGCATTGTTTGTAGCTCATTACATGATAAATCAAGTGTCTCCACTGCTGGCATTAAAGGGAATGGAGGAATCTCCTTTAAACTATTAGAGTGCAATAAGAGGCAGACCAGACGAGGGCAGGAGTGAGGAGGTTCTTGTATCGTCTCAAGTTTATTTGACGAAATGTTGAGATACTCTAACTCAGAGAGAGAAGTGAATAACCTATAGTGGGAGAAAGTGAATTAAATAGTTAATCTTCTCTTGTTTTTGTTCTTTCTCTCTCTTTAGTAACAGTATTGACTGAACTAGGCATTAATTTGTTTAAAAGAGCCATGATGTATGCATGTACATCAAGACATATAGAATCATTAGTTAAAAATGTATTTATTAAGTTTTAGCCCTAATACACATACATGTACTTATACACACATACTTATACATGTGCATACTTATACATTATACATGCACTTACTCTGGAGGTAGTTCATTGATTGAATTATAAGCAATGTGTAGCGCCTTGAGCTTCTTCAAACTAAAAAAATAACACAAGATATTTAATATAAAATACCTATTAATACATGTACAATGTACATACCATACAGAAGGAAATTTTAGAGTGACTAAATTTTGGCAAATTGCTAAAATTTTGGTGATTGGCAAATTTTAATTTGGCGAATTTGTGGCCATGTGCCATTGAGCATGCGCATAATGGCTCAAAATGGTGAATTTTTATTTTGGCGAATGGCTATCAAAACGCCAAATTCGCCAAATTTAACTACCTCCAAAATTTCCTTCCATACGGTACATAGTATAATAAGATTAATACTAATAATACATGTACGTGTAGTACATGTACACGTATATGCATGAGTGTCACAGTCACCCATACATTTAAACCCCATGATCCATGGTGTGTGTGTGTGTGTGTTATTCTCTCCCTCACCTGATGATTGATTTGATGCTGCCTCCAGTCAGTGAGCAGTTACAAGCTCTTAGCTCCACCAGTGGGTGTGGCTTACTCTGAGATTGCTTCTTCAAAGGAGAAGGTATCGACATTATCGGATTATTAGAAACATTGAGCTGAAGCAACCTAATGCATGTACAATAATGTACATGTATATATGTGTGTATATATATGAAAAAAAAAACAAGACAATTATGCTGCAGTACATACACTGTACATGTATACCATGTATAATGGAATAGAATTTAAAATAATGTACATTGCAATTTTAGGAATAAAGCATACATTTGTGTACGTGTTGTATTGTAGCCTCTATATAATGGACACTTTGGATCAAGAAAGTGTCTCTGTTATACAGAGGTGTCCTTTATGTGGAGGCTATTTTATACAGTAAGGAATGCAATTGGTACACTAGGTGCTGTCCGTTAAATGGAGGTGCCCATTAAGTGTAATATGTACATGTATAGCTTAATTAAATTTTAAGATCAACCTAATGTACATGTACATGTGTATTGACATTACCTTGGGCAATGAGTGAAGAGGTTTTCAGGTAAGAAATGAAGTTTGTTGGAGTGTACGTCAAGTAACTCAACGACACAATTATCCCCAATGACTGGTAATGAGACTAGAGCATTGTTACTAACTTGAAGAACCTTCAACTTCTGGAGCCTCAACATAAGACTGTCAATAAAAAGAGGTAGAGGAAGTTATAGGCTACTAGAACACATTACATGTACATGTACATGTAATTTTAAGCATTACATCTGTGTGCATTACAATGTTAAGTAGTGCATGTAAGTATTGGATAAAATGTACATGTACACGTATATTAATGTACATTGAAATACTAAAGGTATTATAATAGCTTAGTAAAACTGGACCTTTATGATTTAAGCTCAAACATTAACTGATTTGTAACTATTATGGATTAATGACAAACTCATGGAAGCTAAGTACAGTATAGTAGTCCATTAGATTTTGTGTTATTACTTTTTTGGGAGGGCTGATATTCTGTTGTAACTCAGAACAAGTTTCTCCAAATTCACAAGCTTGGAAAGTGCTTCCGGGAGTACTGACAAATCATTTCTATACAATGAAAATACATGAAGAATATAATAGACAATGAAAAATACACTGACAATACTAGGCAGTGTACATGTACAAACAAACTATCATGTACTATGCATTACAGTACAGGGACTTTGTTCCAATTTTTGAGCTACTTTAAAAATTCATAAAAAAATCTGAATTTGATCGGAATCAGTTCAAACTTTCTACACAACACATAAGCATGTATATGCATCAGGAAAAATTATAAAAATGAAGAATTGTCTCCTTTTCATTTTTGGCAAAATTTGGTTAAAATCGCTGTACTATAGTACAGGGACTTTGTTCCAATTTTAGAGCAACTTTAAAAATTTGTAAAAAATTCAAATTTGATCGGAATTAGCTTAAACTTTCTATGCAACATAAAAACATGTATGTGCATCAGCAAAAATTATAAAAATTAAAATTTCTTCATTTTCATTTTTGGCAAAATTTGGCTAAAATCGCTGTACTATAGTACAGGGACTTTGGCCCAATTTTGGAGCAACTTAAAAAATTTGTAAAAAAATTCAAATTTGATTAAAATTAGCTCAAACTTCCTATGCAACATAAAAACATGTATATGCATCAGGAAAGTTATAAAAATTGAAAATTCTCTCCTTTTCATTTTTGACGAAATTTGTCCAAAATCACGGCACTATAGTACAGGCCTACAGGGACTTTGGCCAATTCTTGAGCAACTTTAATAAATTTTTTTAAATTAAAATTTGATCAGAATCAGCTCAAAATTTTAGTTTTATGTAGCATAAGTACATTTACATGTAACTAATGTCACTAGTATTAAATAATATTGACTCAAAGTCTCAAATAATGATCATAAAAGACTCAAACTTTCTGCACCATAATACCCTCACCTTGACACATCAAGTGATGTCAGACTAAGCGACGTTGATGCAACAGTGAGCTTGGATATACCTTAAAATGAAAATAAAAAGAAAATAACAATGATAATAAACTTTATGTACATGTACATGCACAGCTACATGTACTATTAAATGCTATAATACAAAAGTACAGTATTTACATGTAACTAAAAATGCTATGATACACATACATGTAACTGAAATGCAGCTTAAAACACGATAAAGAAAATGTAATCCTTTCTATAACAATAATTATTCCTTCCCAACAAGCTATATACCCACTATGTGTACAGTACTATACCCACTATCATATAGCAGGAAATTTTAGAGGGAGTTAAATTTGGCAGATTTGGCATTTGATAGCCAATCGCCAAAATAAAAATTTGCCAATTTGAGCCATTATGTGCATGCTCAATGGTACATGGCCACAAATTTGCCAAATTATAATTTACCAATCACCAAAATTTAGCAATTTACCAAATTTAACTCCCTCCAAATTTTCCCGCTATACAGTATATACAGCCCATTATTCACTTACAGTTATTCCTAGCGTTGATCATGCTCACTCGTCCTTTATGCAGTGAGAGAGTCTTGATGAGGTTATCAGAGCAATTGACAACGTGAAGGTTCTTGGCTCGTCTCATATCAAACTCAGTCATTTCATTTCCTCGTAAGTTAAGAGTGAAGAAGATCAGCAGCTCAGGCAGTGTTGAGGGTATGTTTGTTGATATGTGGTTCATTCTTAGATCTAATATTTGTAGCGTCTGAATCCTGTTGATGTCCTCTGGAATTGAACTGTACAATTAAATTAATAATTATTATTATGAATTAATAAGTATATTAAATATTTATGTACATAATAATACTGTTTATGGTACACTAATTAAATATTCTCAACTATGTCATTTATTGTAATTTTTTATTAAAGCAGTGTATATTTTATTATTTACAAAAAGTTTGCCTTTCCTAAATTGTTTATTGTTATTATTATTATTTAATATAAATACAAGTATTTATGGTAGACACAGTAGCATAGCTGACCACTGAATTTACAAAAATAATTAAAGACAAAACAAAACAGGAAAATACAAAAATACTATTAATTCTTAGTCACAGCTCATAAGCTAAACACTATAACCATCTGCCCTACATTCATCTTTTTATACATACATGTACATTTCTTCTCCTTTTTTCATTATTAATAGAAAATATTTTGTTTACATGTACATGTACATCGCTATGGAAACTGTAAGAGACTAAACTGAATCCTGTTTACTTTAATACAAAAGTACATGTACATATTGAAAATATGTTATTCATACAGTATGACCATCTACATGAGGAACAATGTATATATGCATTATGTTCTACTCACACTATGCTGTTTCCTGCTGCTATTAAGATCCTCAATGACTCCAACTCTTTCACAATGTGTGGGACTGACTTGAACCTAAAAATAAAACACAAACACACACACATAATAATAACTTGAAAATTATTACATAAATGTATTTACATAACTAAATATAACAAATAACTCTTCAAAATTCACTGATATTATCTACACGAATTGGCTTATGTACTATGTACATGTACATGTATACTAGTTGCTACAGCCAATTCTACACAGCACTGAATTTTATATACATGTACATATACATGCATTGAATAGATTGCGTGTGTATACTCTTCCTTTACCTGTTGAATGCAATCACAAGTGTTGTTAGTCTTTGAAGATTGTTCAGATGATAAGGTAGTGTGGATATGAGATTAGAATGTAACAGCAGAGTAGCTAACCTTTAAAAAACAGAGGGAAAAGAAGGAAAAGGTAAGAGGGAGAGAGGAGGAGATAGGGAGGAAGGGAGAAAGAGAGAGGGAGAGAGAGAGGAGAGAGAGAGGAGGGAGAGAGGGAGGGAGGGAGAGAGAGAGAGAGAGAGGAGAGAGTGAGAAAGGCAGGGAGAGTATGAGAAAAAGATATCAAATTAAGATTACACACTATAAAGAAATTTACTTTTTTAGCTTCTGTATGTCCTGTGGTATAACTCTTATCTTGTTGCAAGAGAGATCCAGTTCTGATAGTGTCACTATGTTACATACAGACACTGGGAAGTGAACCAAATTATTGTCACTGAGGGAGAGGATCTTGAGATTTGAGAAGCGATAAATATCATTGATCCAGCCTTCGGGTTGGTATGCTACCGAAGAATCTTCAACCAGCTCAAGCATGAAATTGTGAGAGAGATTAAGAGCAGCAAGATTCTTATTGAGGAAGAGGTATTTTGGTAGTCGGTTAAGGCTACAGCGAGAGAGATCAGCTTCTAATGGATGCTTAGTGACAACCTGAGGAGAGAGAAAGGGGGAAAGAGAGAAAAAGAAAGAGATAATGATAGGAAAAAAGTATATGAAAGTATGATTATTTAAAAGAGATAGTGGTATTCTGTTGATCGATTTAAGGCATAAATTAGTAGCTAATAGAATTCTTTGCACTTTAGCTGGGCAAGGTGTAGATATATGTAATTTAAGATAAAAGAGCCACAAAATGCACCAAAAAATGTTCATGAAATTAATTATCACACTATTGCTTAATTTGGCTAAGTTAATGTTATAGCATTTAAATATCTTTGTTTAAATTTAATAAAATGATTAGAACATGCAATTATTTCTATGTGTATAGTTAAAATTTATTATTCTATTGCTAACCTTTGCTGCTCTCTTAAGCCAGACTGACTGATCATAGCGACTATCAAAAGAGAGGAAAACTGTCTTCTTAGAAGACATGATCTGAACGCAGTACAAGTGCTTCTTTGTCTCATACTCAATGACATTACCACCAGCAAGATCAAGAGTGAGAGAGGGTTTCCCTTTAGGAGTGCTGGACGAGAAGACATGGAGCTGACAGCCGCACAGAACACAGAATCTCTTAGACCAGAAACTGAACGGGCTGGACTCTTTGAATTTGACAGTGCATGTTAGTTGAACCCTCTCGTCTGCTTTGTTCTCTTCTCTGCCTACAAGAGAGAGAGATAGAAGGAAGAAGAATGAGAGAAATAAATTATATAAAAAATAAAATGAGAAGCATAATGTATGGGCTCTAGCAGTTAGTGCTCAGTAATAAATCAAAAGTATTAAATGAAACTGAAGCAACTGATATGTATATCATATGTCACACTGCTGCCCGGATATAGGTATTTTTATTTTTCCCTAAAATATACTGCAATAGCATTAACTTATCATACAAGGAGTTATAAAAACCACAAAGTTAATATTAGTTACTGCCCTCAAAGTTAGGGCATATAGGCCTGCTAGAATAAGGTACATTTAATATCTACATGTACATCCATATACTTCAACTTAAAATCAACAGTTGTAAAAACCACAGTACATTCTACATAGGTTTGCTAGCACATATAATAATACCAGATTTAAAGACCAATATCTATACATGTGTGAGAGTCATCCTTACCAGCTACAAACTTGAACATGTACAGCAGATCATCTCTTGTCCCTTCAAACTGTATCCTCTCAGGGTCATCATAGCCCAGGGATTTGAGAAACTTATTTTGAATCTTTAACGGGCAATCATCGTATCCCAGAGGCTCGGAAGAGTGCCCAGCATAATAAACATACAAATTGCTAGTGACACATTTCGACATTATGACTTCAGCATGGGTCTCAGTGTCGCATTGTGTGAGCTCAGAGTAAGTAGATCCTGGTTGATAAACTCTTATTGCTCCTCTGCTGGGGTCTTCTTTAATCCAACGCTTGAGCTCTTCCTCATCATGCGAATCATCGACTGCTAAATCATAAAAATTGAGACTGAAGTTTCTGGAGCGAGACATTGGCAGTGCGGCTTTTTTAGACTCGGACATTTGAGGTGGGGTAGAAAATGCACGGGATCTTTCCAGCGGTTGCAGACCAACTGAAGTGGTTGAGGCTTGAGGTGGGAGAGTCCCCCAGTAGGCTGCACCTGGGACCTGGTTCCAGACCCTGGCAGCCACTAAATGAGGAAAAAGAATAGAAGGTGGTAGCTATCAGATTAGCACCTTAAAATGCAGTCTGGGCTACTGGGCCAATTCCAACTTAAACAAAAGAAGAGACAGACTACAACTATTAGCTACTATTATTGCTATTATATAGTACTAAAGGATGCATAAAAATCAGCTAATAGTGACAGTACACCTGTGCTGGTTTATTCAATACTAATAGGTAAACATGCACTGGAGGATAATGATAGCTGTCAGTGCAGCTATGCAGAAAGAGAATCATCTATAAACATACTTGGAGTTCTTTCAAAAGCAGCAAATATGGAGAGGGAGGGAGGGAGAGGAGGCGGGAAAGATTAGAATCCTTTTGTTGTTTTCCTTATGCAGATCCACCCATCTGTTGTCCTGCAAATTAAGGCATGCAATGCATAAATTAAAAGTGTAAATTATTGATAAGCTCCGCACTCTCCCGTAGTCTGGCGTAAACGTCCGGATACAGAACTATCTGCTTACTGCTTAGTGTATAAAACATGGCTCGAGGAAAGCAAGAGCATGTTCTGCACGAGCTTATTTCTCCCTAAGAAAATACTTTTATGGAGGAAGAAGCTAGCAATGGGACGTGCAGGAGTGGTTGCGAGTCGGCTTACTGTAGCGAGGAGGACGAGTTGCCCTGTGGGAGAGAAAGCGGCGAGGATATAAACAGAACCTGCCCTCTCTCTTCCTTCCCTTTCGGCGAGATAGTAAAGAAAGAGATAGACGTGGATGTAGCAGTTATAGGTTAGCAATATCTATGCCAAAATGAAGATAACATTTATCAATGGATTGTAACATAATACAACACTTTTAATGCTATTATAATTCGCTTTCATTAATATTAATTAAATTTTTGTACCATTTTTCTTCAGGAAATGGACCTTCTGCTATATTTCTTTCTTTACTGCTTTCCGGATACAAGCTATTCTTCACTGGGTCTCACCCAAACAAAATACTCAGAGAAAAACTAAGAACGGACGTGTCACTGCTAGAACAAGTGAGAAAGAGAGAATGTTCATTATTATTAGCACTGCATTAGCTTGGGGAATGTGAAATTTTGACAATTCTCACCATTCATACAATTTTGAACCAATATACTGTGACATGACTGATAATCTGCCAGTAATTGTCACAATAAAGCCAAAAAATGAGCAATTAACTGGAAATTTTCCACCAGCCATACTTACTGCTGATTTTAATGAAGGCCAAATTGTAGTGCTCTAGCCTCAATATTATTTAAAACACGGCCAAATCGAACTAGCCCTGATTAACGCTAAAACCACTTAGACTTATTTTAGTGCATTTTGGTTAAATTTAGTATTAGCTCATAATACATTTTAAAGTAATCCCTGTAAGCTTAGTATTGATCATTTGCTAAGATTAGCCTGAATTATAATGTATAGCTTCTATTTTGCAATAGGTTAGCATTAATTGATCATATCTTAGTAATTAATACTAGAGTAGTGATATTGTTCCCAGCTTTATACACATCAGCAAAAATTCAAATTAAGAATAATAACCACATTATTATTTGAATTTGATGAATTAGCTATTAATATAGGTCCAAACTTGCTCCCTCTCTCCCTTTTAAAATCTCAGTAGTGATATTGTTCCCAGCTTTATACACATCAGCAAAAATTGACATTAAGAATAATAACCACATTATTATTTACTATGTGTAAAGCTATGCAATGCATGCTTTTGGCAATAACACAGTCAAGCCTCCTTCATATCTAAGGATAATTGAAGAGTAACTAACTGTATACGTGTCAGCAGTTTATTTACGTAGAGTACAGTCATGAATGCTAGTCTGTCTGTGATTAATAATAGTATTTGTAGCATTTATCAAAATTTGTTTTTACAAACACCTTGATTTGTAAGCATTGCTTTAACACCCTCTCTCTCCCTCCCTCCCTCCTCCTCCTCCTCTTATAGGATTTCCCATATCTTTCTGAAGGTCTAGAGGGTCGATCCAGAAACCCGGTCTCACTCCTCTTCGATACTCTCTTTCATCCAAACGCTGACATCGGACAGACCCACTTGTCCTCGTTACGCTGGGAAAGAGACGAGTCTTCCGCTATTTCTCACGTCGTTTTAGGGTGTGGCAAGCCGGGAGGGGTGTGGCATGGGGTGGAGCCTAGCACACTAACACTGAGCCACCAAGAATGGCTGGACTTGCCTTTATACTCGTTTAACGACTGGAAAAAAGACGAAAAGAGAAAAGATGAGAAGAACGATAAAAACTCAAAATGGCGTGCAAAAGCTGGCCATGTTGCCCAGTACTACCAAGACTATATTCACAAAATGTCGTTAAAGGATAATTTTATAAGCTCCGTCTTGATCAAGAGAGTGGAACAGATATGGGATTGTCCTTTATCCCCTAATAGTCCTGGACACAAACCAGTTACTCCTCCATGGTCACCGACACGTACCTCTTCAAACTCAGTTGCTTCACCTACTACTAGTGAGGGTATCATAGCTGAAAGTGAGATTATTCACAGTGCCAAATGTATGTGTGACAAAGGAGTCTGCTGTCCTACTATCGTACAATGTAATCCAGAGTGGATGCTACAAGGAAGCTACTTGAAGCCGTCTTGTTGTAAGAGAAGAGATCAAGAAGAAGCTTCACCGACATCACCACTTGGCTATTCATCTTCTCCTAATTCGATTGCTGTCAAATCCCGTAAAATAGTCTTAGCCTGTGGCTTAACGGAACCAAAAAGGCTTGGGATACCAGGAGAGGAGTTACCATTCGTTACACACAGTTTATCTGATTTTAAAAAGAGACTAAAGTGTAGCAAAAGGAGAGGAAGGTCTGGCTCAGCACTAGTTGTCGGAGCTGGCATGACAGGTGCTGACGCTGTGCTGTACTGTCTCGATAATGACATTCATGTGAATCACTCCTTCTATCAAGATCTAAGTAAAGCTAATAATCTATTATTATCAAAGCTGCCTTCTGGATACTACTTAGAATATCAGAGGGTATGGAAGCTAATGAAGGGCCTGGAAACCTCTCACCTCTATACTCCACTTGAAGGAACAAGAGTGAAATCCTTTTCCACGAATGGAGAGACGATTCTTACAAGCTCAAGCGAGATAGAACAAAGCCTTGCTACTTCAGTGGGTATGATTGCAATCGGGAGTCAAGCAAATTTAGGATTCCTACCTCAAGATATTAGTAGTGTCCTTGGTATTGATCCAAGCCAAGCTATTGACGGTAAAAATAATTCAGTCGATATCGACTCATTCTCGTCCCAAAGTGAGAGGGTTCCTAATCTATATGCATTGGGTCCTTTGGCTGGTGATAATTTCGTTCGATTTTTATTTGGGAGCGGTTTAGCTTGCGCTAAAAGCATCCAAAACTCACTTTGCAAAACCAATCTATCACCGACACAATCCACACTGTCTTCTACTCAAACAAACGACACCACAATTTTATAATGGTATTTTGCATTCATCATATTGCAGTACTTCAGTTTTGCCAATCCATATTCATGTTTGATTTGTGTACAATGATCATGTCAATAATGTACAATCGTGTTTTTATCAAATATATTTTCTTTGTTTATTATTATTATGATAATGATAATCATACTCTATTTACATTTTAAACCAGAAAAACAACAACAGTATCATTGTTTTTATTTCTTGTTTATACTCATTTCCTCTTCTTTCTAACCTGGTTTGGGTTTCTATGCCAAGCCCCTCCCACTTGACCACGCCCTCCTCCAGCACGAAACGCAATCTGTGCCCCACGACTAGTGACATCGTTAAAAGAAAACGGAGACGTTTGACTGATGTAGTCTGGGTCCAGTGGGTGGGATTTGTTACGAGAACGAGGAAGACGAAATGTGAGTCTTTGGGCCGGAGAAAGGAGGAGCTGATCAGGTCTACGACCACCTTTGGGTAATGGTAAAGAGTACTAGAGGGAGAGAGAGGGAGAGAGAAAAAGGGGGAGAGAGTGAGAGAGAGGGTGAAAAAGAGGGAGGGTGAAAAAGAGGGAGGGGAAAAAAGGAGAGAAACAGGAGCAAGAAAAAGGAAAGAAAGGGGGAGAGAGAGAGGGAGGAGAAAAGGAGAGAAACAGGAGGGAGAAAGAAAAAGGAGGAGAGAGAGATAAAAAAGAGATTGATCAGACAGATAACATTATTCATAGCTACAATGACATACAATAATACAGACACCATATATGGGCAATCATACCCCACCCCAGACAGACAGCCAAAGAGGACAGAGTTGATATTCATTTAATCAGTTATACACCTCAGCAATTTTTATACAGTCACATACTACACAATATACATGTACATGTACAGTACACCAAACAACATTGAATTTATTCATGAGCTTATTGACACTGATATTGTGATAGGAACAATGCTAGCAAATAATCATAACTTAGCATGTACTGTACCCTACATCAAACAAATTTACAACATTTCTATTAATGAGATGAAGCAGTAGAACAGTGTCACTTAATTGAAATAAAGTCTACAGTATAGTCTCTCTTAATGGACACTCTCTATAGCATACACCTCTATTTAACAGACAGCACCTAGTGTACCAATTACATTCCTTACTATATAAAGTAACCTCCACATAAAGGACACCTCTGTATAACAGAGACACTTTCTTGACCCAGTGTCCATTATATAGAGGCTACAATACAATGCTGTATCACTGCTATATACACGTACATGTATTCTTATTGCTGTCTATGGATAGTGCAAAGGAAGTGGTTGTATAAATCACTCAACACTTTAAAATTAACTGGTCAAGTAAGGATGCTAGTGTTAATAGCTAATTTTGATAATAACATCATTCAATCTTCAAGTAGACATTAATCAATGAACTTGTTAATCGAACACATGAACACAACATACTCTATAACATATGGTACTACTATGGTAATAATTTTAACAGCATTTACAAGTATACATACATGTACATGTACATGTATGTAGCAATTGGGCTTGGATACCTGGTTTTTAATTATCGATGCCATTCAAAATTTTATATTTTATGGTAAAACACACAAAGATTCTATAGTACTGTAAATATTGACCTTATACTGTACCAGGGCTTATAGTGCTCAGCTATTTGTCAGCACATTTCAAAAATCAGCTCAAAGACTTTTAGTATAGGGACTTAATCCAAATTTCACAAAAATGGAAAGAAAAAAATTTCACATCTTTGTAATTTTTCCTGATGCATATACATGTACTGTAAGTACATGTATGTTGCGTAGAAATTTTAAACTCATTTTGATCAAAATTGAACTATCTACAAATTTTTCAATTTGCTTCAAAATTGGGCCAAAGTCCCTGTACTCTAGCACAGCGTCTTTGGCTAAATTTCACCAAAAATGAAAAGTAGAGGTTTCTCCATTTTTAATAATTTTTCCTGATATATATACATTATCTTATGTTGTGTAGAAAGTTTGAACTGATTCCGATCAAAATTGAATTTTTTATGAAATTTTAAAGTTAACCAAAAATTGGGCCAAAGACTCTACACTATATAGCATAAGCATAGAGACTTTGTCCTAAAGTTTCATTATTCAGTGGCTCCCTGTACATGTACATGTATATTCATTAATGACTTACTCTGAGTCCTTTATGACTGAACTGTTTGTCACTGAGTGATGAATAATGAATGAGGCCATCTTTACCAACATCAGCTAACACTTTAATCATTGACTTGTTACCACAGTTAGGACAAAACAACAGGCCACTTCTAAAATAAACCCTATTAATAACAACAACAGCAATAATAGTAATAACAATAGTAATAGTCATAGTAATAATAATAATAATAATAATAATTGTGTTTGTTTCTTAACAAAAATACTAATTATTATCATTACACTGGTTGGTGGGTGCTTTATTATAAAGTTGAGATTTTCCTATTAACTACATGAAGGATTGAATATATGCTCAGTTGAATAATAGGAAAACACTCAACCCCAAAATACAGTCTCATAAGTACATGTACATGTATAAAAACATGTGCATACACTAAGCATATATGTACATGTATTTGTAAGTTTAATTGTGTAATTGTGTATCTTTTCTTGACTTACTTGAAGCAGGCCTTGCATTGCTGAGCGTAGGTTCTTATTCTCTTGATTAACATTCCATCAATGGAGACAACATTAAGACCAATCTGTAATAGGACATTCTGAGAGAGAGAGAGAGAGGGGGAGGGAGAGAGAGAGAAGGAGGAAAAAGAACAGAGGGAGGAAGAGAAAAGAAATACAAGTGTACATGTACATGTAGGAGGAATAAGAAAAAGATGGTAGTCATAATAAAATGACCATCAAAATGCCAAATTCACAAAATTATAATTCTTTCCAAAATTTCCTGCTATACAGTATATAAATTCATTACAGACGTAGGAGATGTACATGAATATTTTTACACCAAATATATACATGAATACATCAACCAAATGTACATGTACATGTATGCTAATAATACATGTACTGCATAGAGTAAGCCCCTCTAATAAACCACAGTAATTAATACACACACACTGTACTAGTGAATATTACCTGCATAGCATAGTCAGTGGTCATACAACCAACAGATATCTCATCAATAGTCTCCTCCATCAATCCACCAATACCATCACACACTGACTGATAATTATCAGGAGTAATCCAACTATCATCATCATCCTCTCCCTCTCCCTCTCCTCTTTCCTCCTCCTCCTCTTCTTCTAATTGTTCCTCAAGACTGTCATTGGTTAGTGCTGTATCTTTATCTCCATCTATAAATAGGTACATGTGTATCATTATGAGTGTGTGTGAGTGGTTTAAAGGCAACTTATTTTAAGGAAATGAATTTGGGGTGATTTCGGGGCCATTTCTTGAAAAAACCATAGGCTATAGCCTTGGGTATCTTTCAGAATTTTGGAAATTTCTTAAAATGGCCATAACTTGAAAAATTGAAGTCGGAATCAGCTCAAACTTTCTATACGGCATAAGGACATCAATATGTATCACAAAATGTAATAAAAATTTGGGGTGATTTTAGAGCTATTTTTCCAAAAAACCATGGGCTATAGCCTAGGGTAATTTTTAGAATTTTGGCATTTTCTTAAAATGGCTGTAATAGATATGGGAGTAGATATAGTACAGTCTTTACCTTGTTCTCTTTCTTTCTCTCTGTCTTCTTTACTGTTAGTGCTTTGTTCAGTTGATGTGTCATCACATTCTTTATTAATATCAATATCATTGAAGGAGTCACTTAGTGTTGCTTTATTCTACAATAATAAATAAAATAAATAAATAAATAAACAACAACAATCTTGGGGTGATTTCAGAGCCATTTTCAGAAAAAACCATGGACTATATATAGTATTTGCTTTTTACCAAAAACCTGCTACTTTAAAAAAAATGGTTGCAACTCAAAAGAAAGTGTAAAATAAAATGTTTTAGAATCACATTTTAAGCTACACATTATACATGTACATGTGTAAGTATTTGAGTAACAAGTAGATCAGAAGAATTGCCAATAATTATTTCTTGTATAGTCTTACCTTCTGTGGCTTCTTTCCAGTGTAGAAACCAGCTGTAGAATAAGGTATCCTCTAAAAATAAAATAATAATATTAATGATTATTAATGACACTAAATTTTGTTAAGCAATTATAGATTTACATTGTATATTGACTGGTGGTTTTTATTTAATGAATTATTGACAGTTCCACATATATCAAAATGACTGGCTCTATAAGAAGTTCCTTAACCTTCCATTGACAGTTACATTAATAAGTAATTACATGCAAATTACAAGTTTAAAATTATACTGATATTTTTCAATTTCATTGTATTAATTTCTTTACTTGTTGTTCTTTGTTGGTTTGCATTGGGTCAGTTCTTAAATTGGTTCCTCTTTGAGGCCCTCTCTCCTTCTCCAGCTGGTAAGTGAGTGCAATCAGTCGAAGATCAACAGCTGATAGACTTTGATAATCACCAGTCTTCTTAGAGAAATCAGTTACTAGAGGAGAGGGAGGGAGGGGAGAAGAAAGGCAAATGTGAAAGGAAGTTTATGATAGTTGGTTAGATGCTCATTTCCATAATTTCTTCTTATACATAATGTACTTATGCTGTGTAGAAATGCTGAAAAAGTTGCTCCAAAATTGGTCCAAAGTGGGCCCTGTACTATATAATAGTACAGGGTCGTTGGCAAAATTTTGCCATAAATGAAATCTCAATTTTTATAATTTTTCCTGATACATATACATGTTCTTATATTGCGTACAAAATTTGAGCTGATTCCAATTAAAACTAAATTTTTAATGAAATTTTAAAGTTACTCCAAAATCA